GCTCCCAGCCGCCGCCCCTCGCTTCTGCAAAACGTGGCGGCCGCTCCGACCGACTTGGCCTCCGTACCTAAAAACAGCAAAAGCTGCCGCGACGCGAGACGGCCCCTTTCCTGCTCATGTAAATCCTCCTCGGTGGGGACTTTCCCCCCGGGGCTGGTTTTGAATGCGGCGCAGACGCTGGGGGCGGTCGGTGCCTGCGCCCTGGGCACGGTCCAGCCTCGTGTCCCCAGGCTGTGCCCATCATGGTGGCCTTCTTTGATTGAGGTGGCCATGGCTGGCGTGGGTCTGCGGCAGAGCCGGCGATGAGCCCGTCTGCAACGTGCTCGGCGATGCAAAATCTTGGGGATGTATCCAAGGATGCGACCGCCGCTTCTCATCTCTGCTCATTGAGGGGGGCAGTGGGATCGCCCCCCCATCTCCCGTCCCCAGCATCCCAGAGAGTCCCTGCAGCCGCTCCTTCAGGGAAGGGTGAAATCTAGAAGAGGAGAGAGATGGCCAACACGAGCTGTCACCTCCCCGGGTGCCAGCCATGCTCGCTCCTCCTCCACCCCCCGTTTGCCGTGACCAAGACCCTTCTCTGTGCATCCTTTGGAGACAACCCGTCCCTGGGGGAGCACAATGTGGCACCCCAAAGTGAGCTCTGTCCCACTTTGCTCTAACACAGAAATATGGTTTCCTTCCATGCCGTGCCATCCAGCTGCTGTGCTTTGCTGGCTCTGAGCGAGCACTGAACTGTAACTCCATGTGAAAAACACCTTTGGGTACTTTTGCCAGCGTTGTTGGTCCCCAGAGCCCGGGTGTCTTTGCCTGGGGCCCCCCCAGACCTTCACATTCTGCAGGTTGAGTGGTTTTTTTGCTGGTTCTGAGCATTCGGCCGTTGCTGGGAACCGTCCTGAGCCTCCCTTTGTATGTGAGGGGACGTGAAGCAAGAAAGAGGAGCAATAAAGTTTTTCAGAGAAAGACTGGCCCCAGGAGGGAAAGAAAGATGGTGGGAGAGGTGCCTTCTCCTGGTAGAGCAGGCAGGTCGTGCCGTGCACGGTGCTGTACGTTGGGACCGTGCTGCTGAGTCCCTGCTGCAGGCACCTCTGGTCTTGCTGGAAAAGCACAGCCTGGCCGTGACATCCCAGCAAGGCAGAAGGGATGGGGGATGCCCATGTGCTCTGCAGGCACTGGAGGGATTTTCATTGAGCCCTGGGGTTGGAGATGGGAGCTGTGATGAGCAAGGCAGGGATGCCAGAGGCGCCTGGGAAAGCCCCATGGGACAAAACCAGGAGCGTGGCACAAACTAAAGAGGATTTGCAGCGATGGTGGCCACATTACTCTGCTGGTTGCCTGCGGGCTCCTTGGCACCCTCAGACAGGCATGGACCTGGTCCAGAGGGGCTCAGTCTCCCCTTGAGGCTCCTTGTGTTTGCAGTGCCCAGTGGCCTGGGATGCAGGGGGACCCGATGGTCTCAGGGGAGGGTCCCGTGTCCCCGTGTTCCCTGGGCCATGCTGGCTCCCCAGCCTGCAGAGGTGGTGGGACCATGCCTTGTGGGCAGGGCAGAGCTGCTGCCAGGCGGCTGCACCCTTCCCCAGCCCATTCCTATTCATCAGAGCTTGGGTTTCAGTGCTGTCCTTTCCCCTGCCCCAGGAGCACAGG